GTGTGTGTGTGTGTGTGTGTGTGTGTGTGTGTGTGTGTGTGTGTGTGTGTGCATGTGCATGCACACTCCTGTGGAGGTCATAAGACAACTTTCAGGAGTTGGTTCTCTCCTTCCATTGTGTGGCTTGTGGGTATCAAACACAGGTTGCCAAATCTGCTGAGCTATCTATCTCATTGGCTCTCATTATTTCTGAGACTCGGTTTCACACTGTAGCCCAGGCTGTCCTGAAACTCTAAACAGTTCTGACTTAGCTTCTTGAGGACTGAGGTGACAGGCTTGACTCAGTTGCTTACTTCATTGCCTCTTCCTGAGGTGGTTTTCACTGTTGTTTGCGTTTTGTTTTTACATACACCTGTCTGTGCACACGCACATGTGTGTGGAAGCACATGGAGACCAGAGGGCAATGCCAGGCATCTGCCTTCACAATCTTCATCTTATTTTTTGAGACGGCCTCTCAGTGAACATGGAGAAGCCCCATGCTGGCCTCCCTATGGACATGTTACCCTCAGCTGTTTATGACAGCGTCGAGGACCAAACTCAGGACCTCATCCTTGTGCAGAAAGGTTGTCCCTGAGGGAACTGTCTGCTCAAGCCTCTCTTGAGCATTAAGGTTGGAGTTAGAAGGTTATTTCCTCCCCCCTTTCACAAGCATGTGAGTGTAAGTGAAATATTTACTCATCTGTAAAACCATGACACAGAATATGTTGATACAGAATATGTTTCACGAGATCCATCTATTAAGTACCTCGATGAGAAGTTAATTTAGCCTGCAGTACCACAAAGGGAGCATGGAGGAGAAAAGCAAGCAAGGAGGGCAATATTCCAAGCATATTCTAGACCCTCTAAATAATGATTCCTTCAGTGTATCACATCCCAAATGATGCCATAGCAGTCTTCAAGAAGCCATAGCTTCTGCAACCCTTCATTCTGTAGTTAGTAATGAGGACATAGGTGGTATTTATAATTCTTTTCTTCTAACACTCTCTTCATTTCTTTATCAGGCTCTCAGCTGGTCAGGGTTCTTAACCTGGGGGTGATTCCAACCTTCATTCTTAAAGAGTCCTCATCCACAGTTGCTCTACATTTTTGCTGTTAATTTTCCATTATTATTATTATTATTATTATTATTATTATTATTATTATTATTATTTTACCAAGTTTCAATGCAATAACCTTGCTTCCTCATCTAGTCTTTCTCATCACAATTGAGTGGCAGCAACCCAAACTTCATTTTGAGATTCAGGATCAAGTACAAAAGGCAGCAGAGTGACCCACTTTCTGTTCCTCTGAGTTCAGTGACAGGAAGAGACCAAAATAATGAGATGGCAGCACCAGCTCCTAAGTCGTTGTTCTGCCTCCTGGCAAAAGTGTTTCAAGTCTGCATTTAACAGTTATGGAGTTATTCTTATTCCTATTGCTTTAGAAGACACAGGTTACAGGTTCAGACATGTTATAGACTCTGTAAAGAATTATTCTTTAGTGTTGTCACAAAATGGTGCCACAACAGTCTTCAGGAGGCCATTGAACTTCTTTGTTAGGCTAGCTGGTTTGGGGTAAGAATTTATAGTGAAGATTAATTAGTTCCATAGGTGTGGCCCTATCACAATAATTTATTTGTATTTATTTATTAATTATAAAAAATTTATTTTGCTATGACACAAATTATTTGATCAGAACCAATGTTGTGTGGGATAACATCACAGAAGAAAAAACTTGCATTAAGTCTGGGCATGGTGAGGTAGGCTATACATGTCCCTATTCAAAATTTCTCTTCTAGGTAAGTCGGAGCTCTGATCCTATAATGGAAGGGATCGAATGCAGTAATTTTACCATGAATTGTGTAGCTGGTTCGCCCATGCCCAGAGGATGATGTCAAGCCAGGAACTCATTGTCAAAGGTGCTTTTGACTGGTTTGGGCTTCAGTAGTAGAAGGCTCTAGTTGAACACTGGAGTGGGAAAACCTGTGTTGCAGAGCCTGGAATTCTATCACCAGCACTGACGACACGCTCCACTGTACATGGTACATCAAGCAAACACTGGTGCAGCTAAGGAAAACAGCCACATGATGTGTAGAGTACATTCCATTTGTTCACCTGATTGTTGAGAGACTTCCCTGCTATGATCATAAACACTTCGGAGTTGGGCCTGGTGGCGAAGTCTTATGATCCCAGTGGGCAATGAATAGTGGAATCTTAGTCTTCATTGGAAACACAGTGGTCTACTGTCTCCTCAGTTTGTGGATATGTAATTGAAATAATCATGTTTGACCACTGTTGGAATTCCCACCTTTGTATGTCAACCTGGAAAATTAATTTTAGCTCAGATGACAAGAAGCATAAGGTCTAGGCAGAAGCTGCTAGATGCTCTCTTGGGTAGCAGGATAATGAAGCCAAAATTAATCTATTTCCATGGGGGAATCTATTTTTTTTGCAGATTTTTTATTTGAATTAGAAATAAAATTGTTTTACATGTCAATTCCAGTTCCCTCTCCTCACCCCCCATCAACTAAAACCCTACCTATCACATATCCTTTCTGCTGGAGGGTGAGGCCTTCAATAGGGTGTCATCAGAGTCTATCGTATCCTTTGGGATAGGGCCTATGCCCACCCCCACCGGGGGATCTTGAAGACCTGGGACTTGAAATTAGCCAGGGTACTGCTACACTCCCTATTTAGCTCACTCTTTTCTTCTGAGAAAGCAGATCAATCTTGGAGTGTAATAGAATAATTCAGATGGTGATGCCAATTGGCTCTGATATCCAAAAAGTAGTATCTTTAATGGGGCAAATTAGCACAGTGTGAAAATAAACATACTGTTTAAAAATACCCTGTCCCCATCAGGATATAGTTTGCTTTGGCCTAGTATGATCAGCAGTACCTTTCCTATTATTGCCTCGGGACTATGTCAGCTCTCCTTGTTCTGTCATAATGCACACAGGATAAAACTTAATCAGAGTGACTTCCCACACATTATGTCAGTCTGTTAGCTGGATGACATCATGCTGATTACTTCTGAAAAACAGGAAGTAGAAAGCAAAAGGGGAAAATTCTACAAAAATAAGAAAACCATTACCCCAGTGATGTTTCTTAGAGTTCAGTTGTCCAGAACATGCTGGGATCTAGATCTCCTCTAACACTGAATATACTATATTTGAGTGTGATATTCCAACCCGGTTAATGATAACTTAAAATGTTGTTGGTGATTGGGAAGACAAGAACAATGGAAGGCATTTTAGTGAACTCCCACTGTAGTACAGGCTGTTACTTCATTTGATTCTTGCAAACCAGTAGACCTGGTGAGGTTGGGAATGTACTGGAGAACAGGAGCACTGTATATAGCCTCTGGCATGCAGCTGCAGAAGGGTTAAGAGCAGGCCCATGGGGGTTAAGGAAAATGCACGCCTTCTTCAGAAAATATCTACCTACTGTTAAACTTGTGATATACTTGTGAGCAAACCCTTCTCAAAGGCAACAAACAGCTGCACTCATAATGAAATAGGCGATATCTGGCCACCAATCTGTAAGGGCAAGGGCTCACTTGGAGCCATGTGTTAAAATGAAGAAGGGGACATGAGGTTTGAGAAAATACAAATGGTATAAGTAAGTTAAATGAGCGATGGCTCAGACTTTTAATACCACATTGTCTCCTGAAAGAACAAGCTGAGCTTTTCACAATGAACAGGTCATCAGGGGAGCCCTAAAGCAGGACATTTTCTCCAGTCAAAAGCAGAGAACAAGTTAGAGAGATGCTGCCAAGCTGCTGGAGAGGTTCAAAGTATAAAATGGGACTAGGCCGGCCATTCCTGGTTTGACACGGGAAGGTCTCTGAGAAAATGTGAGAAGGAAATGAATCTAAACAACAGTCAGAGAGCTATGAAGATGACCCAGGCTTTAGAGGGGACTGACTGACTTCACTTAGCAAACCATGCAAGAAACTTCCCTGTTCAATTTCGGACACCATCAGCTCTGTGGCTACAGGAAATGAATGGCATTTTGGAGCTTCTGTTTTCCATCTTTTATGAATC